CTCTGAGCTGTGCTGGCCTCGCCCACAGGCCTGGAAGAACGCCACGCTGGCTGAGCAGGCCAAGCTGCCCGCCACACAGAAGCCAGTGCTGCTCTCCAAAGACATCGAAGCCAAGATGATGGCCCTGGACCGTGAGGTGCAGTATCTGCTCAACAAGGCCAAGTTTGCCAAGCCCCGACCCAAGCCCAGGGATAAGAATGAAACCCGGGCAGAACCTCCGCTCAATGCCAGCGCCAGTGACCAGGGGGAGAGGATCATCCCCCCACCAGGTGAGGCAGGGTGCCTGGTGCCAGGGCGGGGGAGCCTCCTTTCCCTCTGGCATCACATCTTTACTCTGCGTTTCCTTCAGGCCAGACTGAAGATGCAAAGCCCATTCCCGAACCTGAGAAAGAGACTCGTGAGTTGGGGAAACTGGGAATATGGACATCCCTTAGCCTAGGGATTGGCAAACGGGCAGGCACAGCCTGGTTCTGGACAGCCCATGAGGTTATTTTAAAAACAAGAAAATGCAGAGACTGAACATGGCCTACAAACCCTACAATTTCTTCACAGAGAAAGTTGGCCAACCACTGCTTTAGTCCTTTCTTTCTGCAGACACTAACCTGCCCCTCCCTTCGCAGGCCCTGAGCCAGCGGACACAGGTGAGGATGGAGCAGGTGAGGATGGAGCAGGTGAGGATGGAGTCGGGCGCCAGGAACTGATAGGGTCTGGGGGAAATAATCTACATAGAACGGGCAGGTGGCTCACTTCATCCACTGTGTTCTTTATCTTCCCAACTCCAGCAGAGTCTGAGCAGCAGGAGCAGCCTGCAGGACCGAGACCAGCTTTGAAGAATGATGAACTATAACCCCACCTTCCAGTCCCATATTCCTCCCCCCTTCTCCTACCACCCTATTTATTGACCATCGCGGGCTGGGGGAACGCCCAGTCCTGTCCTCAGAGGTTACGTCCCCTTTGCACCGGTGATCGGAGTTCGGATACGAGGAAGGAAGAGACATCTCTCACTGGTTTCTTCCAGGGCAGTTCTGTGGTTACATTTGCAATTGTTCTGTCCCCCAATCTCATCCCCTGGTTCGCTATCTACTCGGGCCCTAAATTGGGAAAAGTCACTCTTCTGTCTTAATTGTGGGAGGTGAGAGGATGGCCGTCAGTGCTGGCAGACCTGGTGTGGAAGGAAGGGTGTCCTTGGTGGTCAGTCCCATCTTCTGTCGTCCCTTCTCTCCTTCCCTCCACACCCACGCCAGCCACCCAGGTTTGCTCTCGGAGTGCCTAGTCATGCTCTTCTCTCCTCCGCTCTTCTCTTTCCCTGACCCTGCAAGCTCACGCTCCTCTTTCCCTGGTGTCCTTGGCTGGTTCTTGTGGCTTGGCCGTCTGGACTGGCTGAAAGAAATCCAGGTCGATTCCCCCGCACGCACAGTGCCTAGCGGCCAGCGCAGGCGGAGAAAGGGAGGGAATCCAGCCCCACTCCAGGACTGAGCCTGGGGACGCCCTGCAGCTCCCACCTGTGGACTCCGCCATTGGCCAGGAATGCCGTTCAGACTACCTGCCCCTGGACTACCTGCCCCTCTCCTCTGCCTCCCAGACAGCCTGTCCCTCACCCTGGGCTGACCAAAGTGTGCTTTCTACTGTGAGTCCCTGTCCCAAGACCTAGGAGAGAAATGGTGTAAATGTAAAAGCCCGCCTCTCTGAGGCAGGCCGTGGTGAAGGGGGAGGCTAGCAAGGGGCCCTTCGCCCTCTAGGCTGACGGGAGCCTGGCCGCCAGTGCTGTGTCTGCAGCAGGAGCCAGGCTGCCTCCTCATTCCTAGAGTGAGGGGAGCTGGGTGTGTCTGTCCCCGCCCCCTTTTTGCCACATTGGCAGAAATGACGCCTGAGGGTCCCACCTGTCCTGTGTGTTTGAGTTCTTTCAATAGCAGTTGAGGCTGGTTGGGAAATTTGAGTCAAATTGTACTTTTGCTCCATTGTTAATTGAAAACTTTCAATAAAATATTATTTTCTACAGTTTTTGTGCTGTGGTTTTTAAAACTTTATTTCCTGAATATAAATAATGGATATTTATTATAGAAAAATTGGAAGGTAGAAGTTTGAATAATAAAATTATTTACAACACTATCACTAAAACATTAACATTTTGGGCTTAGTTGAGATTATAGATATAAGTTCTTTTTCGAACACAAAGTTGGGGTTTTATTTGTCTCCTGACATTTTGAACACTTATTTTTAATATATAAATTTATTGATTTCAGAGAGGAAGGGAGAGGGAGATAGAAACATCAATGATGAGAATCATTGATCCGCTGCCTCCTGCCCCCCTACTGAGGATTGAGCCCACATCCCAGTTATGTGCCCTTGCGTAGAATCGAACCAGGGACCCTTCAGTCCGCAAGCCAAAGCTCTTATCAACTGAGCCAAACCAGCAAGGGTCACATTATTTTAAAAAAATATATATTTTAATGAATTTTTTGACAGACAGAAAGGGAGAAAGAGAAGCAGAAACATCGATGAGAGAGAAACCCAAATCAGTGGCCTCCTGCACACCTCCCACTGGGGATGTGCCCACAACCAAGGTACATGCCCTTGACCGGAATCAAACCTGGGACCCTTCAGTCCGCAGCCCGATGCTCTATCCACTGAGTCAAACCAGCAAGGCCACTATATTATTTCTTAGGTAACTTCCATTTGAAAAATAATCCCATATTACAAATGAACAATTCAAAGAGATTCAGTAATTTGTCTAAGGAATCAGGGGTGTTAGTGCCTCAGCGAGGTTTGAACTGAATTCTGAGCCATTACATTAGTTCTTTATTATTATTTTTTTTTTTTTGCCAGATGGCAGAGTCTTTGATTTTTTTTTAACACAAATACAATGTGTACACAATTTGCTCATTTTCTTCGCTGCGCAGCCTGGCATTGGGATTGGTGACTTTGATGGCCAGCTGGGCTGCTCTTTCCACAATGGCTTTGCGGTTCTTGGAGGAGACGTTGTGAGCAGTCTCAGCACAGACGTATTGCACATTAGCAGCACTTCAAGCTCCTTGATGTTATGGACCAGAAACTTCTGAAAGCCACTGGGCAGCATGTGCTTTGTTTTCTTGTTGCTCCAGTAACCAACGTTGGGCATCAGGATCTGGCCCTTAAATCTCCTCCACACCCTGTTGTCAGTGCCTCTGGGTTTCTGCCAGTCCCGCCTCATTTTGATGGATCGGTCTGACTGGTGCCAGATGAACCTCTTGGTCCTCTTTTTGACAATCTTGGGTTTCACGAGGGGTCTGAGGGCAGCCATGGTGCCGAATAGGAGATGGCTGCCACCTCCGTAGGCAGCGCCAAGGAAGAGAGGGACCAGTTCTTTACTTTTAAATATATTTTATTGATTTTTTTACAGAGAGGAAGGGAGAGGGATAGAAATCTAGAAATATCAATCAGCTGCCTCCTGCACGCCCCCTACTGGGGATGTTCCCGCAACCAAGGTACATGCCCTTGACCGGAATCGAACCTGGAACCTTTAATTTATTTTTTTATTTATTAATTATTTTTTTAATCAATCTTTATTGTTCATATTATTACAAAGGTTCCTCATTTCTTCCCCCCTCCACCAGGTTCCCACTCCATCCTCCACCCCCTCCCCATCCCCCATTGTCCTCATCCATAGGTGCACAGTTTATGTTCAGTCTCTTCTTTCCTCCCTTTCCTGGATAGTAAATCCCTTTTCAGATAGTAAATCAGTTACTTAGCATTTTCTCATATCAATAATACCTCCACATGCCCAATGATACACTTCACACAAAAGACATTTACCAATAGGTCCACCAGCCTCATCCAGGCCCCACCCAAGGCACTCACAGATCAACACCCCAGCCCTAAACTAACTCAACACACCCAGATCTAAGCCTTCATCACTTGATTCAGCAGACCCTCAAGTTCCTGCAAAAGTTTCCAGCCATGTCTGAGAGGCAGCCGTGGGGCAGGGACAGGCGAGGAGCGAGCTGTTCCAAGCCTGGCTGCTCCGGGCCTGGCCTCTGTTGCTCTGGTTCATTCCACAACCAGCTGCTCTGGGTCTGGTCACTGCCGCTCCCGACCTAAGGCAGTAACTCAGTAACTGATTTACTATCTGAGGCAGCCGTGGGGCAGGGGCAGGCGAGGAGCAAGCTGTTCCGAGCCTGGCTGCTCCGGGCCTGGCCTCTGTTGCTCTGGTTCGTTCCACAACCAGCTGCTCCCGGGTTTGGTCACTGCCGCTCCAGATCTAAGCCTTCATCACTTGATTCAGCGGACCCTCAAGTTCCCGCAAAAGTTTCCAGCCATGTCTGAGAGGCAGCCATGGGGCAGGGGCAGGGGAGGAGCGAGCTGTTCCGGGCCTGGCTGCTCCGGGCCTGGCCTTTGTTGCTCTGTTCATTCCACAACCAGCTGCTCTGGGTCTGGTCACTGCCGCTCCCGACCTAGTTGCTCTGGACTTGGCAGCTGCTGCTCCGGGCTTGGCCGCACCAGACCCGGCCACTCCGGGCCCGGCCACTCCCGGCCTGGCAGCCGTTGCTCCGGGCCCAGCCACGCCCGACCTGGTCGCTCCGGGCCCGGACGCTCCCGGCCTGGCCGCTCAGAGCCTGGCCGCTCCCGGCCTGGATGCTCTGGGCTTGGCTACTGCTATTCTGGGTCTTGCTACTCCCAACCCGGCTGCTCTGGGCCTGGCTTCTCTGGGCTCGGCCACTCCGGGTCTGGGTGTTCCTGGACTGGCCACCCTGGGCTTGGCCGCCTCTGCCTCAGGCCTGGCTGCCACTGCCCCAGGTCTGGCTGCTCCAGTGCTGGCTGTTGATGCTCTGGTTCTGGCTGCTGCTGCTCTGGGGCCTGGCTGTTGCTGCTCCCAGCCTGGCAGCCGCTGCTCCGGGCCTGGCCGCGCCCGACCCGCCTGCTCCCCCGGGCCTGGCTGCTCCCAGCCTGGCAGCCGCTGCCCCGGGCCTGGCCACACCCGACCCGGCTGCTCTGGGCCTGGCTGCCCCGGGCCCGGCCTCTCCGAGCCTGGGCACTCCCAGCCTGGATGCCCTGGGCTTGGCTACTGCTGTTCTGGGTCTGGCTGCTCCCACCCCGGCTGGCTTCTCCGGGCCCAGCCACTCGGGGCCTGGTTGTTTCTGGACTGGCCACCCTGGGCTTGGCCGCCTCTGCCTCAGGCCTGGCTGCCACTGCCCCAGGTCTGGCTGCTCCAGTGCTGGCTGTTGATGCTCTGGTTCTGGCTGCTGCTGCTCTGGGGCCTGGCTGTTGCTGCTCCAGGCCTGGCTGCCGCTGTTCCAACATTCTGTCCTTTTTTTTTTTTTTTTTTAAACACATTTATGTTGCAATGTTGGCTGTTGAGTTGAGTTCTGACTTAGTCTTTGATTTTTTAAGATCTTCTTTGTATTCTTTCTTAAGTAATTTTACTATCTTTTGCTCTCACTTGATTTCTTCACATTGAGAACTTCTTTGGTTTCTTCCTCCTTGTCCTGGGAGCTCAGCAGGTTGGCCTGTGGCACCCCTTTGTTCTCTGCGGGCTCCTGCGCTGCTTCAGCCTGTTGCCGGGGTCGGAGCCGCCCAGGAAGCAGCCCCCGGCCTTGGCTCCATTGCCCGCGCTCAGCGGTGGAAGGCTCAGGGGCACCCACCCCCCCAGGGACCCCATCGTCCTGCTCCTTGCTGGTGCCTGGTTGGCCGGTGTCCAGCAGGGGCTCCTGCTCCTCGTCGCGTTCCTCCAGTCTGGAGCTTTTTTTCTCCTTCCCCTTAGGGGAGTCTAGCATCACCTCACAGCCCCGTCTCCCTCTGCTTGAGCCTGGGTCGCCAGGGGTTGGCCTAGAGCTGGGGTTCGGAGCAGTCCGGACTGAGGCTCAGTGCCAC